CCAGGCTGAATCATTACGTGTTGACAGTCATGTGATGTTGTTGTCACAGGAAAAAGATACACGTAATATTGTTAAACCTTTCGTTTTGTTTTTCTCATCAGTTGCCTCGAAATAAGATGAAAAAAATTCTTTTTATTCTGTAGTCGCTGTGTATTGTGTCACAAATATGGTGAGAATAGAGAAAATAGGAACATACACGACTGTTTCTTCCTAAATTATGGCAATCCTCCTCCACTTCAGACATTTCAAAAAGGTTATTCAACACAGAATCACAGTAGTCGAAAAACAAAGAAGTTGTTCTGTCTTTAAAAAAGGTTTAGTATGGATAAAGAAAACAAGCATTCATATATAAGCCATTTTCAACTGTTTCGTCCGCATCAGTATTCGAACTACTGGAGCTAATGTTGTTATAACTGGCAGCGAACATGGCTTAAGCAGTTATGGGCGTTTAGCTATCCTAAAAGCTTGCTGATTTGTATCAATGAGATAATGAGTTCTATGTGTTAGATGTTCTTTTCAAGAATATTTTTATAGTTTGATTCGATGTGTAGCATCGATATTTTGTTCAGTAGAACTCCGATCACATCAATAGAAGTGGAAATAAAGAGCCTTCTGAAATCTCATTTGTGCTGCATGGAATCGAACAAACAATAGAGTAAAAATAAGTGACGAAAGATATGATAGAAGATGGTTCAGAAGCATTTCCCATTTCACGAGACAGCCTCCTCAAGTGCCCCCTGCCAATTTCAATGATTTTTTACCTATAAATACTACATAGTGTTCTAGTAAAAATCCTAAAAGCACTTGGGTTTCTATTGAGATCTGGCTGAGTTATCGAATTTGTAATATGTCTATTTTATAGAAGTCCCTGTACCACTCCAGGTATTCAGGAAAATTGTATTTTTGAATTTGAACCTAAAACTTTGCCCATATAGAGACATCCATTAGACTAGCTTCCATAGAAAAATTTAGAAGTTTTGGACAAAGTCTCTTCGAGATACCGAACTTTTAGTGTATAAGTCCCTTTTCATTAAGCTAAGCCCCCATTAAAAAATTTCATTTTCGTCAAAAACATCGATTTTCGAGATTTATATCTGGTTGGATAGCCCACATTTTCTACTTTCGAACGCACTGTAGTTTATTGATTTTGCGATGGGTTTTGAGGGTTATACAGAGGTTTTTCTGAAACACTCACAATCAGAAAAATGGTAATTACAGCTATTACACAAGTGTCCCGCAGAGTCTGGGTGTGGGTGGCGTGGCTGTGACTCTGGGTGTGGATGTGGGTGTGGGTGAGTGTGGGTGTGGGCGGATGTGTGTGGGTGTGGGCGGGTGTGTGTGGGTGTGGGCGGGTGTGGGTGGGTGTGGGTATGGGTGTGGGCGGTTGTGTGTGGGTGGCGTGGCTGTGACTCTGGGTGTGGGTGTGGGCGGATGTGGGTATGGATGTGGATGTGGGTGTGGGTGTGGGAGGATTTGGGTGGGCGTGGGTGTGGGTGGCGTGGGTGTGGCTCTGGGTGTGGGCGGATGTGTGTGGGTGTCGATCTCTTCTTCACCCACACATCCACACCCACACCCACACCACCCACACTCACACCCACACCCACACCCAACACTTGAAATGAGTGCCATAAATATAAATGTGACTTTTGTTTTGTTGTATTGGCTCTTTTTAGAGGGACAATTAATGTTTAGTATGAGGCTTCTCTTTGCAAATCTACTTTTCATTCTCAAACAACTTTGGCATCCGAAAAGGAACTTGAAAATCATCGATGATCAAATGCTTTTCTATTCACATAAGATATTTTCGTAATTCTCAATTAACTCTGAAGTAACAGATAAAGTTTACCTGATATTGATGATAGCATTAAGTTTAGTACAAACATTGCGACATGATAAAATAATCGTTAATGTATCAAGATGGTCCAAAATTCGGTAGACGAGTTCGCAATGAAGTATATGAAGGAGCAGTGCGATTTCGATAAATATGTTATTCGTTTTTTTAAATGTATATTTTGCTGAAATACATATGAACGAATTTCTTGTTCTATTACAATATATGCATTTGTTGATGACTCGTTTAAAAAATTCCTTGTGATTGTGCAATCGGCTACTGCTATGTTTGTTGCAAACAATTTAATACTGACAAACAAATACGACGGTTTGCAAATGAAATAATCGTAGCTTTATTTTTTCTTTAATTCTTATATAAAACAGCAAGCCATGTGCTTGTTAATTAAAAAAAGGTATTTTGCATTTGTTCTTATCGTTTTCTTGACGCAGAGTCGATCGTCAAAAAGGAAGAAAAAAGTCAACATGTACTATTGAAAGAGAACATGGCATATAAGTAAAGCTTGCGACTCAAGTCAATATATAGGTGATAGTCATCATTGTGCATCGATTTATAAAACGCGGTTGATTATTATAATTATTTGACGATTTTTAACATTAGGATTGAAACGACTACTACTTGTTATATGCCTATATTTTATATATTTTTTCAAAGCTCATTTGATGAAACTAAAGAAAACACAAGTATTGTGTCATTTTTCCGGATGATATTCTTCACTTACTAGTCACATATACTTTCAACGAAAACAATGAGTGTGAATTTTAAGTTCAAGTTTTAGTGACTCACCATCTCCTCTCGCATTACAGACATTAATAATTATTTCTAAATTTCGTTGAATATTCTAACTTGTGAAGATATATGAATTCCACATACCGCTTTTTATTATGAATTCAAAGGATATCTTTGAATATGAATTGAAGCAATATATGCATGCAGTTAATCTTCTTCTGTGTGTATCTTATTGTTTGAAATCGTTGGTATAAGATGGCCCAAAACCTTCTGTTGAATTCTACCATTTTTCATGGATAGAAGCTGATAATCAATCTTGAATCGGCTTATATTACAAAGCGTCATCTGATCTAATCAAATCTGTCTCATATAAATTGATTTGTAAACAGTACAACAGTATAGATATAAAGAAAGGAAAAATAGAAGGGTGTGGTTGGGTATGGATGTTGGTGATTGAAGAAGAATAATCCATACCCACATCCTCGAGTTTTCTGTGCTCAAAAGATTTCAGATCAAGATTCGAAAAGATGAGGTCTCTAGAAAATGGATATATTAAAAATTCTATAGTTTTGTCCAATTTCAATAGGAAATAAAGTCTTAGTATTTCAACGTATTAGAACACTGTGGATCTATAGGTGAAAAATCATCAAAACCGAAAACGGAGCAACTGAACAGCTCTCCTTGTAGATTCCAACTGAAATTATACTGTTTTGTAAAAATTAAAATTTCATAAATTGCTGTCCAACAGAAGAAACGTGAATTCAGAATTTATTCAATATTATTTATCTATGAATTTGAAATTGTTCAAGTTTTTCTTTCTAACCCTTTTTATATAACAAAACATGTATATAAAAGGAATATAGAAATGAAGTGTATATCTTTTGGATTGGGCTGGATTAGAAAATTCGTCTTATTCCCGTTGACATCAATTTTGATTGACTTTTGAGAACTCAAACAGATGCAGCATGTTTTCCTATTGCTTCAAAATGTTTCTAAAACTAGGAAAATCAACTTTTGGAATCAGGAAATTTAGCTACCTCGCAGATGATCAAGAATCATAGATCAATAGTGGATTGTTCTAATAGATGAACTATTCCAAAGCAGGATAATGAAGAAATACATTCTAAAATAGATAGAATAAAACGATCTGTCTGTGATGAGCAATAACAGCTGCTTCACAGCTTTTTTTTATGTATGAAACAGTTAGCTTATATACAATTATGCTTGTGTAAGAAGATCAAAAAAGTAGAAACTGTTTCGAGACAATCGTCACTCATCAATAAAAATTCATTTTTATAACAAGCGTAGCTGTTGTCTAATTAAATATAATGCACTATTTTGTACTTCAGTGTCTTGTTCGTGAGAAATAAATAGAAGTGTAACGTTTTCATTTTTCTGATGTTAATGTTTTCTTTGGAAAATTAGAAAAGATCAAGGTTCTTCTCCAGATTGACGAACATTCTTTATACTAATTGGTCGAATTGAACAGACACATCATAAAGAATGGTTCCTGTGGTGTTATTGATGTATAGAAAAGCAAACAACTTGAATTAAACAGAGATGATTACGAAGGATAAATGAAAGAAAACAAATTGCCTATGGCGATTAATAAGCTAGCATATGACCACTCATTATGCATGATTGTGACTAATAAACAAATTGAAATATTGCTCATTGAGCTTCATTTATGAGAATAGTCTTTTCTATTATAATTAATTCATGTCTTCATTAATTTGTTAATCAAACGATACTTGCCACTTCAATTGAATTAAAATAAAGGTATTCTAAGTTCTGTATGGTATATAGAAAAAAATTGTTTTTTCTCATTTAACAATTAATCATTATTAAAATCTTCATGTAATGACAAAGTATCTTTTGTTAATCGAAAACATGAAGATATAAGATTTAAATGTTAATAAATTTGAAATGATTAAAATAAGTGTTTAGAATTTTTCTTACAATAAAGAAAAATATGTTTTTACACAGTTTTCAATTTGGATTATGAGAAGAGAATGCTTCTTTCCTAAACATACACTTAAATTTTGTCTCTCTATAGAGAATATCTTTAAGAATTAATTGGAAGACATTTTTTTTTAAAAACACTTAGTGTTTTGTATACATATTAGATCTAGTTGATTCCAGTAGTTTGTAAACAACTATTTCTAAAAATAAAAAATGACAACAGAAAATTTGGTTAAACAAAGTTTTTATCAATAAATAGCTGTAAAAATCGCTCTTTCGAATCTTTCTCGTATAGTATTTCGAGATTTGTTTGCATTTCAATGTCATATGCAACTGATTTCACTGTCGATTGTGATAAGTTTTCATACACTCCATGTCCTAATTCGACGTATTCCAATTAAAGTTCTAACCGATGCTGAATAGCATTATTTACAATAAATATTTTCCATAAATAACTTATTTAAAGAAGTTTGTTTCTTATTCTTTCGATATCTTGTTCGATTTCCAAAATATCAACAGAATTTGATTGATATATTTGACAACGATGGTAATATTCCTGTTGAAATTCGATTAAAGCTTGTGAAAAATTGCCTTCATACTCGTGTAAAAGACCAATATTTCGCACGATTTTACTTATGTCAGGATGATGTGGTGGTAATGATTTTCGATTGATATCAAGAGCAACTTTGTAATATTCATAAGCAAGATCGAAATGTCTAAGTCGATGATAAACAACAGCAATATTGTTATGTGATGCAGCTAATCGATGATGATTAGATGGAAGATTTTTTTTGCGAATCATTAATGCTATTCGATGACAATCTAAAGCTTCTAAATAGTTATCTAGTGCTTGATATGCATTACCCATATTATTTAAACATAGAGCAACTCGTGTATGGTCCCATCCAAATGTATGTAAAGCTATTTTCAATGCTATACTATACGAATCTAAAGCACTTTCATAATCACCTGTCTTTTCTTGTACAATACCAATACTATTATATGTATTGCCTATATTTGGATGATCATTTGGTAATGTTTTAATATCGATATTTAGTGATTTTTGATACCATATCATACTCTTATTGTACTCGCCTTTTTCACGTAATATCTCACCAATATTGAAATAGCATGCTGACATCAATCGATTATCACTATTATTGATATGATCTAGTTCATTAAGTTGTCGATGATAGAACATTTCTGCATCATCGAATTTTCCCATTCTTTGTAATACATTTCCTAATGTCATTAGATTAGTTTCATTATGTTGTCTACCACCATAATCATTTCGATTTTGTTCATAGATTGCTTTAAAATGATTTTGTTTATCACCACATAATATCATTCGAACAATAAAAATATTCTCATTATGATCATAAGAAATATCGACAAGTTGAAAAATACTACGAGGCATGAAGAGAACTTCTTCTTCATTTGGAAATGCACTAAATTGTCCAATGTTACCAAATGGTTTTATACCATCAATTTGTGGATCAGCATCAATATCAAATAGAATTCGTTTTAATTTCATACGAGAATTATTTGTTTCACCTAAATAGAAAATAGCTAAACTACGATTAAGACTAGTAGAAAGAAGTGAATTCATTGATATATAATGACCAATCGAATGTTGAAGATGTTTTAATTCATCATGTGTTATTAATTGACCACGATAAACACGAACGAAGGATTTACATTGACATTTTTGAAGTTGTTGATGAAGATCATGAATAAATGAATGAAAGATATATAATAAATTAATATTATCAACACGAAATGCTTTATTTAATATTCTATACAGACAAGTATTACTTGTATACCACCAAAGAGCTTGATTAGGTGAATATGTAAGAATGAAATTTTTTATATCATTAAGTTCTATTGGATTGTCATTGTATGCTTTACTATACAAATGAATTAATTCATTAGTGTTAGTTGATGATGTTTTTTTCATTCGTAAAAGAACATCAAGTATCAACAATGAATGAAGAAATTGAGCATTGAGATCTGAAGATGATCGATCAGTCTTATTATCATTATAAATATTGAAAATGTTGAATGCAAATGATGTATCAATATCTTGACATCTTTGTCTTTGATTATGATGATCTTGTATCTTTGCAATAAGTGTATCCATGTCGGTGAATATACCTCGAATCTAAATTCTCATTCATAATAACAAATAGAACTAAGTAATTGTGTAAGCTCTTCAAAGGATCATCCTTCAGTTCAAAAGCCATCTATAACATTTTAGATAGCCATTCGTAATCCCTTGAATGATACATAATAAATTGCTTTTTCATCAAGTTTTAATGTTCTAAGAAGTCATACATCAGTTAAGGAATATTATAACAGTTGTAGATAATATAACGAAATATTAGAATTCTATATGTTTTCCAACCAAACTGTTTGAAATTCTGCTTAAAGTCACTTCAATAAAGTTTTGCTTCGTTTTTAATCGTTTATATCTAATAATAATCACAACAGCTTTCTTCTTATCTAAAATCATTGCATTTTTACTAGCTTTTATGATATTTTTAATTGCTCGATACTGCTCTTCAAGGCAAAGATGACCAAGCGTACAACTTCTTGAGAAATTGTTCACCGCCGACCTGTATAATTATACGGATTGATTGTTCTCTAAACTGTTGTGTGTTATGGTTAAATCAATCCATCCATCCATACCTCAAAAAAGCCAATTTTTTGATTCCTAAGGGCAGACAAGTACATAAGTTTTGCGATAAATATTTTTTGAGTGAAAAAGTTTATGTTTATGAATAATAAGTTTCTCATGCCTTATCATTTTATATGTATGTATCTTTTGAAAATAGCAAAAATGTTCGCTAGTTTTGAATCTCTAGATGAACTATACAGGGATATACAAAATTTCTTATTGTTATAGAAGATCGAATATATAATAAATCTGATAGAGCTTGATAGTATGATTTCACTCGACTATTTAGAGTGTAGATTCGTAAGGAATAAAATAAATACTAATCTATATTATTGTCTATTCACGTGTCCTCTTCTAGAGAATTTGAAAGCGAAACTTTTTTTTTGTCATTTTTGAAAGATCCATATACACGTCAAGTGATAGGGCATGTTGAATTTACTATGAATAGTTAGAATCTTCTTCATTCAAAAAATATTTATTGCAAAACTGATACTTTTGTGTTTTTAGGAACTGAAAAGTTGTTCTTTATTAGACATCAATTGTTAAATTGATTGTGACTATGATTAGATATAAAGGAATGAAAACGAGACAAAACTTTATCGAAGTAACTGTAAACAAAATTTCATATAGATTGGTTAGAAAACATACAAAGTTCTAATATCTCATTATATCATCTACAATTGTTATAATATTCGTTAACTGATATGTGACCTTCTAAGAACATGAAAAATTGATGAAAAGGCAATGTCATGTATACAATTGAATATGCCATGAGTGGTTCTACAAAATGATATAGATGGCTTTGAAAATGACGAGTACGTATCGTATCCGGTAGGGTCCTTACCTTAGAAAACTGTTTGAGCCATGTTTGATTGAATTCTTTATTGTTTTCGTACAAGCATAGAATGTAGATTGATAGTACTTGTTGTAATTGATGAAGGCATACTAAGAATTGTTGATGAATGGTAGTATCGCTTACTACAAGAACAAGCCGATCATCTTCTGATACATGATGAAGAATATAGTTTTCAAATTCAGCTTGATCCACGAACATTTCTTGATGATTAAACCATGGTTGTAAACGATGTTGAGCATCATTGGACTCTTGTAAATGTATATTCACCCATACAAGGGAAATTCCTTCCAAATTAATACATTCATCTATTAATAAAGTTGGTGTTGAAGCCATCCGAATACACTCTTCAGAGAACGCTGACGATTCTGTGTGAACAAGAATTATTTGATGTAGAATATTGCATTAAATTCGTTTTCCTACTGTTCTCTTTGCAGAAAGAAAAATTTTGATTTAATTATATGTTATTTTATACGTCAGTAATTTCATAATAAACAGGTATCGAAAATGTTGATATGCATCGGGTTTTCCTCAAAAATTTGAAGTGTTTTCTTTGTCGCATAATTTCACTACTCTAAAATAGTTCGAAATATTCGAAAGTATTTAATAATATAAAATACTCTCTTCTAGGATTTTTCACTGCAGATCGAGAGTGATTATTTAAGATAATAATAAATAGTAAAACATACTCGATTGGAAAGCTTCAGTCGAACTCAATCAAGACAAATATGCTGACTTTCGAAAAACAATCGCAGTTTCTTTTTTTTTATTTATTCTGATCGTGGTCTTCTCAAAGTCTCAACAAACCAGTTTTTTCATTAAACATTTCTTCATCGTCTTAAGTATGGATAGATGTTTTGCTCGAACCATTCGTAAAACCTTCTAAATATTCAGACTTTTTTCGGTTACATGCACTAATTTGGTCTAGACAGAGGAGCGAATGTCTGCGGCGTACATAAATCCATATGTAAGGCATCTTGGGCTCTGTGACACGTGTTTTGAGAAACATGTATAAAGAACGAGAGAAGACCTTCGACAAAGAATTAAGCAGGTAGAAACAGCTTGAAGTTATACAGAAAGAAAACATGAATGCGAACATGTACCTATTTACATACATCACTTTCTCTCTGCTAGTTTCAGTGTGTGAAATTTCGAAATTATGTTCTTGAATGACTTTAAACGTAGAAGCACGAAAGTATGAATGTAGCTTTTTCTCTTCGCTCTCACTCACATTAACAATCACATACCAGAATTATGAAAAATGATTAAACCTAAACGGTTAAAAAAAATATATTACTAACAAGAATTGAGCTCATATTTTGATTATATCGAAACAACTTCTATACTAGACTAACTCCAAACAGGATTCTGACTCATTGATCTTTTCTATAGACTTATGACAACTGGACTAGATTTCTACCATAGAACGAAGTATTGACAGAATCAAAAAGTAACTTTCTCAATAACCTATTTGATAAAAAAATTCGATTTCAGTTAGGAAATAATGATTGCTGTTGCTTATAGAAAAATTTTCAGGACAACAATCCTTTGTCCAATTTTTTCTGTCGACAACCTATCTTACAGTGAAATCGAGCATGATTGTCGCAGCTCTATAGAGAATGTTGGGGATTTGACTAACATACACATATACATTATGTGTTGATTTATTCTCTTCAACTTATAGGACATATAGTGGTATTTTTCCCTTCTATGTCATCGCATTATATATTGCGTCTTTCTCACCATATTATTCTATGCCATAGATAGCATTTTCCCTATCTGCTTTTATATATATTCGGGTGTATTCGTTCTATTTTTGATCTGTCTATCCTATTTTTTTTCATCTTTACGTTGCTTTCCTCTTCATATACTTCGTGGTTGGCGTTATTAAGTAAAATCAAACTTACATTCACAAAGAAGACTGACGAATTCGAATGCTTTTGAAGTCTATCTAGTGTAAACATTATTGTTTTTTTACATGCTCAACTATGACATCAAAATTGATGCATCATTTCGAACTACTCTCTTTCGAATAGAATTCTTATTAATCAGTCAGATAGAAATAATCGATTCATGTAGAGAGAATTCTTACCTAAAATCATCCTTTTTCCTATCTGTTATTATATTTTATCGAATCCTTTTTTTTTTACATATTTAATTGTCAATGATTAAGATATTAGAATAATTAGAAGGAAAGGAATAAAGAATTGTACTATTGATTACAATTCTTATTTGAATTTCAACACGATAACAATTTATTGTTTTGGATAAACAAGACTTATTAATATGTGATGCAAAAGTCTTGACAAAAAAATGTCAACCTATGTTAGACTATATTGCCAGCTTCTAAACCAATCAAGTTTTTTTGCTAGAAAGAGCAAAGTCTGAACTACAAATTTTGTACCAGGCTTAAATTCTCGGAACCAATCTACGAAGCAAGAGAAGCTAAAGCTAAACATCTCTTAAAAAGTTCTTGCAACGTTTTTGTAACTTGAAAAGTTTCTATTTCTCAATTATCTTGAGTTATATGGATCAAATTCTAACAAAAAATACACCAAAATATGGCACATCGAAAGTTCTATCGATATCAGCTTTGGTAAATTTTTTTAAGATTAGCTCTTGACTCTTTAATTAAAAAAGATAGGAAGTTGAAATTTTTGTAAAATAGAGTTTTTTTGCACGAACCATCCATTTGGAAGGAAATTAACCACAATCTTTAGAAACTATGCGTGAACTGAAATCTTTGTATGTTATTTGTTTGAAATACACCAGATCCTAGAAACTTAGCAAAAAGAAAAGAATTGAAAAAACTTCTTTTATTGCTACAAAGCGGTCAGATAGCAAGTAAGACCAAATTAGACAGTGTCATCCAGAAAGAACTATATTTTTCTAGAGAAACCAAGACTAAATTTACCTTCGAATATACACCATTGAAAAGAGCACTTTTATGCTACAAACATCATCATTAAATGTGAGTTTTCATTTTGCTTTTAATATAAAGAGATATGGAAACCGTGGATTTAAATCCGAGTGTTTTGTATACTTCAAAAAGGAAAAACACAGAAGCAATTTCCATTTAAGTATCTTTGCAATACGTGACTTAACCTTCTTGTTTCTTAATGTTTTATATACTATTTTGTAGCCCGTGTAATTCTCTATCGAATGGTATATAATAGCTGAGGTTTTGTTTGATTATGAGAGAAAAAATTTTTTTATGAAAATCGGGATAGGTCAATGTTCACATAGAACAGCATAGGAAATAATGATATTTTTGCGATAACTCAGCAATTTCTTAACGAATCATTCTCATCTTCGAACTCAACCGAGATATTGATGAGACGGTTTTGTGTGCAAAATTTCATCTCAATTGGACTATCCTTTGAAGAGTTATTGTGTAAACAGCCGGCCGGACGAACGGGACACACTGACCGATTCTATAGTGTGTGTACTCACTTTTTGAGTACACAAAAATGAAAAGAAAATAGAAAATGATATTGCACGAAGATAAAGTTGCAAGAACTTTCGTAGAGGTGTTTGGTTTTTGGCTTCTCCTGCTTCGTAGATTCGTTCAGGAAAAACAAGTCTGGTAGAAAATTTGTAGTTCAGACTTTGCTCTTTCCAACACAAAAAAATTTGATTGGTTTAGAAGTTGGCAATATGACCTACCATAGGTTGACATTTTTTTGCCAAGACTTTTGCATCGAATGTTAGTTCGGCCAAATACTCAAGACTACCAAAATGGAGTATTCTTTACGATGTATAAATAAACGACTCCATCGATTGTGGGATTTCATTATGTAAAAATCTATTGCATGACAATTAAGTATAACGATAGGAAAAAAATGTGTCCATGAGTAGACAATCTTTCTGCGATTAACAAGAACAGCTCTATCGTTTTTCAAATATCATTCGCACAGCGATTACGCTCACAGCTTTATATTTTCAATGTTCTTTTCGTCATTATAATAAATTCAAAATATTTCATAGCTACAAATAATTCATCATTGTATATAATTCAAAGTTATAGACACAACATTATATTTTGTTTGCATTACTTATTGTTTATACCGTAATAGTTCGTTTTACTGAACAAAAAAAAGAAATGAAAGAAACACAAACATCTTTGAATAAAGTGCAAAGAATCCAATTGATAAAAATACTTTCATATGCGTCTTTGTTTTTAATACAACAAAAAAAAAAAATTTGCAGTACATGAAAGAAGAGTCAATAAATTTTTTGTTTTGTCTATTTGATTTTGAATACAAAAAAAAAAGAAAGAAAGAAAGAAAATGATGAATGGAACATTATATTATTTCCTCGATACACATGAGCCAAGATGACAAAAAAAAACTGGTACACAAAAGGAAAAAAAAAATAAAAATAAACTTGATTATAAAGGAAAAAGATAGCTCAAGACGAATAGAGATCTATGGTGAATCAGAATTTGACGATGCTGCTCGATTATCATGTGCTACTTGCCATAATTCACCCATATTTAATAGAGCTATACATCGACGTCGTCGAGTTTCACGTGAACATAATGAATCACTTAATACTCGATCACAAACATCTCGTTCAATACTTTCAATTTCAAGTTTTGTTGCACGCCAAAGTGCTTCCATAGATTTAGCAGCTGTATCAGCTTCAAGTTTACGTTTTTCTTCTTCAGTTAATTGTAATGGCTGTTGTGTCGCTGGTGATTTACCATGACGATGATGTTTACTTGGGGAAGATGTTGTTGTATTTTTATTCGATGATGATGATGATGATGATGATGGTGGTGGTGGTGGTGAAGCTGAGGCTGATGCGGATGCAGATGCTGTTGTTTCTGGTGGTGTATATCCTTCATAATCTAAATGTCCTGAATGATGTTGAAATGGATATTGAGAATTTTGTCCTCCTTCTGAATTTGCTGCTGCTTCTTCATCAGCTATTTGTGCTAATTTTGACATTGATTGTCCCCATTCAACAGCACATTTAACTGTTTTAACTGTTTCTTTAACAACATGTACACGTTCTTTCCATGATGATTGTACATGTTTACCAAATCCTAACATACGTTTACCAATATGACCTTCTTGTGAATCTAATTTATTTAACCATAATTTTGCTTTTGATGCATATATATAACCAATAGCATGTAATAAATGTTCACCATATGGTGCACTAAGTAAATTTGGAATGTCTAAACGTGTTATTTCAATAAAATTATTTAATGCTTGATTATATTGAATATCATTAGCATTTGATGGTATTGATTCCGTAAAAACAGATAATTTATATGTAAGATTTATTGATAATTGTTTAATACGTTCTTCACGTGCTTGTGTACGTTCTTCAGCATATGCTAAACGTTTACGCATTTTTTCTTCTTTTTGTTCACGTGTTTCTTCTGTACCTTTATTTTCAACATCTTTAAGTACTTCAGAAAGAGCATGTTTTAATGATTTAGCTAATTCAAAATCACCAATAATTTTTATAAATTGTTCACCACCAAACATTAAACGAAAGAATTCTTCAGCATCAAATTCTTCTAATGATATACCAGCTGAACCATTTGCTATAAGACGTTCATCTTTACCATATCTAAATATAAAATAATAGTAAATAGAAGTTTTTACAGCTTCTCTACAGACTCGAACAATCGTTACTCTGAAAATCTATAGCCATGATAGGCACTGATGACTCTAATGTAACTGTACAGTTTTAATTTTAAGCGAGTTTTTTTTCTTGAGAAGTTATAAACTAGTGGACAAATGAATACATTTTCATTTTTACAACAGCATTCATTAGAATTTAGTCTTCATCTTTATTAAAGAGTTTTAGAAATTTATTAAGATTATAATGACAATAAATCAATCATGGTATGCATCAATAATAGCTCATTCTAATGCATAGTATTTCCTTATTGAATTTCTGAAGGATTAAGGAAAAGAATGATAAAAAATGCATGCCAAAATAAATAGACTAAATAATCGCTCTGTAAGTAGCTATAGCAGTTACATCATGTGTTACATTTGAATTCGGTACGGATTGCGCGCACATCTTTTTATTATACTGTATAATGACAAAGCTTCTTTTTATATTATAGTTATCAAAAAAGACTAAAAACGCAATGTTCTAATTATATCTTTACAAGTAGTAAACTTTCACAATGTTGAAATGAATATTATTCTATGAAGTTAATTGCACATGTTAACTAGACAACATGTCAAGAAATTATATGTTGTTAAACTATTGAAGAAATAAGAGACTGTAATTCAAAGTTATAAGTATTCTACTAGAATTTTAGCCTCTGACATAGTACATACTAACAATTTGAATGGAGGTATTTCGATTTTGCTCATAGATAAGTTTATTTGTTAGTTATATCTTCTGAAATCCTCAGTTCACAAAAAATTTTTCCTTCCTGAAGATATTGAAGTCCTAAAAAATAGAAAATTCTAGCTTTTTTGTGAAATATGAGTGGTTCTTGGGATTTTAGTAATGTTCTTTTGAGCTGAAATTTTCAGGTCACTCTGCGGACTTATATACTATGCCGGAAGCTAAAACTCTATTGAAATATTGATAAATCTGGACAGAATGCATAAAGTTTGAATTGAAAAACAATTGATCATGAAAAATTTTTGACGAACGTATTTTTTCAGTTTTATCAACTTGTTGTTTTTCATTGTTTCTTGAATCTAGATCAAAGTTTGAAAATTATTCGACTCGTACTTGTTCCTTTTTGATATTTCTCATAAACTTTCAGTAATTGATTAATAGTTCAAAAGATAACCTTTGCTTTTCTTTCGTTTTGCATTTGACATTTTCATATAGATTATTCATTTCAATTAGGTTACAAATGTGACTTATGAATTCTAATAAGTGTCAAATAAATGAATAAGATTCTATATTTTATCAAAAAAAATCACATTGATCGATTGCGAAAAATTTATTCTCATGTTTCTATTTTTTGTTTTATTATTTACAGAAAAAGATATGTCGTTTAAAAGATTGACATAAATATTCAAGGCTTATATAAATACATTCGATTAGGGATTATTCTCTGTCTCCATACAAACTAATTTCATTACGCCTCAAAACTTATAGAACATCCTGTAGCTGTCAGTTATTATTTCTATATTAGACTTAGAAGCCAATAGGATTTCTATTGTCAACTAGTCCATGTAAAATATCAATTAGTTAAAATATACAATGTCAGACTTATATAATTTTTGAAACTCTAATACTAAAAACAAACGAAAAATTCTTGCAAAATTTTTCATCAAGTAATATTGAATAACATCCATGCTTTATTTTTTCAATACAATTATGATTTCTATACAAAATTTAAAATTTGCTAATATTTAAATATTTTCTCTGTTATATGACGATTAGACATTGATTAGTTTGTAATTTTCAAACTCATGTTTCTAGATTATCAACACTATGAAAATCGATAGAAACAAGTAAATATAGACGAGTTTCAATGCTTACAAAAAAATTCATCTAGTCCTAATCCAAATTCTACAAATCAACTCAATGGACACATATATATCATCGGCAAAATTAAGTACAAAACTACAAAATAAGTTTTTTCTTTCATTTGAAAATAGATTCTAATTTCCGTTTCCATTAAGAATATATAACACGCATCTGTTATAGTTTTTACTATATAGGAATTCATTTCTACTTATTTATATTGTAATTTATGCATCAATGATTTCTTATATGTCGATATTAGAATATTAATTTTTGGAAAATATTTTTTTTATAAATCAGTAAAAAAAAAGACAGATATTATTCTATCTCATGAAACACATAGAATAATAAAATAACTCAATACTTTACATATTACACTTATACGATATTTTATAACATTTAAACATCAATAAAAGAAAAATACTACTAAAACAAAAAAAGCTTTACTCTCATCTTCATCTATTCAAAAGTAGACTCTAATAATCAAACCATTGAACATGAAAATTCTATTAGAATTATCTCGTTTTCTTTTTTTTTTGTATTCACATACCTATTATAAAGTGTTCTTTTTTCTGGATCACTAAGAATACCTATTACGAAAAAAAAAAAACAAAATCGTAAACATTATAGAATATAATCTAATATTTTTTTATCTTACTATAAGCTTGTGAAATAAGTTTAAATCTTTCAGCATATTCACGTCGTGTTATTTCATTGAGATTTTGTGTACGATCAGGATGATATTGTAATGAAAGTGAATAATAAGCTTTTTTTATTTCTGATGCTGTTGCTGTTGGTGATACATTAAGTATATTATAATAAGTTTTATCTAATGGTGCTTCATCTGTACCAGTTTTACCAAGAAAACCAGATCGAACACCACCAAATGAAGATTTCTTTTTATCATCATTATCACCGGATGTACCAGATGCCATATTATTTAATTTAGAATCAAATAAAAAATAAAAAAAACAACAAAATTATCTAAAAAAAACACCGAAAATACAAAATTCATTCAATTTAAAATTTGTGTCATTCACATTTCAGGAAAGAAAATAAAAAAAAAAAAACTTAAATTAAATTTTTTGTAATTGTTCTACAATTATATTCATATCTGTTTTATCACGTTCAATTTTTTCATTATAACGTATTAATTGACGAAGAAAACCAGTATTTGGTTGTACAATAGGACGATGTGTACGTATTTCATTTATAGCTTGTTCAATTGACATTGAATGATGTTTTATTAAATATGCACAACATAATGTTGTTGAACGTGATACTCCACATGCACAATGAATAAGTACACAACCATTTAATTGTCGTGCTTCTTCAATAAATTGACAGGCTTGTTCAAAATATGGTGACATATTAAATGACATTGTATCTTCAGCTTTAATAAAAAGATGTTTAACATTTGGAGGAATCGAATCTTTTTTTGGTCGAATCCAAAGAACTGATAGAATATGAGTTATATTTAAACGAGTAAGACGATTCTTATTATTAGAAAAAGAAAATAATTAATTAAAACGATAAGAAAATGATAAATTAAAAGAAAAAAAACAAAACTTACTTGATCGTGTAATGATCTAAGACCACCTAAATAAAGAAATTTATCAAAAATAAGTGTTGGTTCATGATATGTTATTTTTCGTTGAATTCTATTATTTAAAAGATGTATACGAATATAATTAAGACGTTTTTCAAATGGATCAATAGGTTTTTTGTTTGATAATGTTGTAATTTGTGATTTTTTTGTTAATAATAAAGGAGAAGATAAAGTTATTTTTTTTCTTTCATTTGTTGATATACGAGCATGTGATATTGTTGTCATATTTGTAAATTATAGGAAGTTTCGTCAAAAATAAGGTGAATCTCTTCCTTTATATTGATAGAATAACTCATTCAGTTATGAATGATTGATGATGACTCAAGGCCGACATTTTGTTGACTCACTAGAAACATATATGAATGGTGAGGTTTAGAAAACATTTCTGACATCTAAAATAGATGTCTGTATTAGTCAATATTCTATTGTGAGAATTTCAATGAAAATTAAATGAAAAAATCAAAGTATAATTTTTAATGACAATATATATATTATGAATTAGTTACTCAAGCGAAAAAAAAGAAGATCATTCTTCTTTAATAATCAAGAGACTCTTTCGAAAATATTTTTTTTCAACATAATATTTTTCTACACTGAGCAAAAAGTTTTGTAGATTGAAAGATTTTTAATAAAAAACTTAACTTGATATTTGAAGTCACTATTAAAAATTTCATCGATTAGAGGGACATTTGAAAGATGATGATAAAATAATATCGAGCAGAAAATAAGATCCTTCCAACAGAGCTGTTAATACTGAAGTACAATACGTTGAAATCAGAGCCGCCTTCGATAAATTACACCTTCGAACTAGAAGCCGTGCTTTAAATTGAAGAAAGTCTTCTAACTGATCAATCAATTTTGATTCAAGGCTATGTGTGTTATGCAGACCCTGATGATCTATGAATAGCTTGACAAGACCTCGTGTCCTTAGGCTTATTGCTACGAGAATATTGTAATTTTAAAATACTCTTTTCAATCAGTGCTGTGATAGCTAGATGTATAAAACGGCGCCGGCGGCTTTGACAAGCAAAAAACACGTATTTTCTCTTAAAAATGTCACTGACGACGCCATAGACTATTATCCGTTATCTTCGTCCGTGGCGGTGGCGTAGCAACTGAACTTGCTTTTTCATAGCGGCGGCTCCCAAAAACAACTCTTAAAATTATCTACGATTCCGTGGCGACGGCGGCTCAGCTGTTTCGGCTTACACCTCTAGTGATAACAGAAAAAAATAGTTTTTCTGTAAATGTTTCAGATCTTGCCGCTGTTCCTCATGAAAATACACTTGGTATATCAAAAGATGATAACTGTGTGTTAAGAACTAAAATTATTTTATTTGAAAACTAAAAAAAAAAAAGAACAAATACAAGAAAAACAACAACAACTGTTTTTGACTTCTAAACAAAAAAAAGACACTGTCCTTTATCGTCTCTGTATCGTTGGCATGTTATGAAATTTTGAACTTGTATATTCATCAGAAAATGTACATGTTACTTGTGATTGTTTTTTTGTTATTATTTGATTTGGTGGTAAATAAATTTGTTCATGATGTTGTTCTTCTATTTCAATATCTTGTTCTTCTTCTTGTTGATTATTATTATTATTATTATTTTTCAATTGAGAAACATTATGTGTTAAAGATTTTAATTGTTGATAGATAAAACGAAGATCACTTGTTTGTTCATAATCAAAATTATATCGATAACCAGATCGTTTAGGTGGTATTGGTGGTTGTCTCATTATTGGACGATCATATAATAAAATTGATGAATGTTGTTCATTATTAAAAGATTTTTCATTTAATGAATTTGTTGTTAAAACAACAGCTGCAGCTGTTGTTGAAGAAATAATACCTTTACTATTTGTTGCTATTAATAATGCATGTTTACGTAAAAATTTTAAATATTCATTACGAATTAATGTATAAAAAAGATGCCATTTAAATCGAGCTAAATGAACTTTTGTATTCATTATACTATCATAAATTAATTTATTGCTTTTTGAATGTTGACTTATATGACGTTTACGTTCAATATCATGCCAAATTATATCACAAAAAGTTACTAAAAAAAAACAAAAATCTTATTATTAATGTTCGAAATAATGCTTTCTAGATTGAAGACTAAAATCAAAACCTATGAAAATCTTGATATTGCATATATTTAATAATCGAATCTAACTTCTCTATGATTCGGACATATAATGACATCAAAAAGTAATCAGTATATATTTTAGAATAGAAAACATCAATTTATCGAAATGTTTTCTATAGGAAGAACTTGATCAGACTTATTCCAACTAGTATCCGATGTAATCAAATTTTTTTCAATATATTGATTCCATGAGCATGTGTTGAGATGAAATGAAAGAAAACAAAATTTATCTAATCAAACGAATAAGGGAAAAAAGCTTTCTTATGAGTCAATACCTAGAACTGAACTAGTCGACCTCTGTTACTAAGTAATGAGTCCAAGGAGAAAACAGTAGACTTCAAACACTATTAGTCTACTGTTTCGCTTGTTGAATAAGTTAGTTCAGCCGTTGCGCCGCTGCCACGAGCGAAAATTTTTGATAATAGTATGATGCACCGCAGCCATTGACATCGATACGTATGCGATCGGTCTTTTTCTCGCATTTTAGAAGCGAAAACGTCTTTTTTTGGTTGTCAAAGCCGCCGCCGGTGTAGGAAAACATGGAATCTAGTGGGCGCCGCCGCCGTTTGATCTCTCGGCTTACACCTCAAGACAAGAATATTTCAACATCAGTGTCCGACTCGAGTCGGGTTCAGTAACTTCCATGTCAAACAGTTCTGATTTATGAAATTATCTTTGAATAATCTTTCGATAAGAATTAATGAGAACTGTCATATCTTCAGTTAATTTTAATGAATCATCTTAAAATTTTCTTACAAAACAAATAAAAAAAACTAAATAAAAAATTTTTCATACCCAAAATTGGATGTCCATGAATAATTTCCATATGAATAAATGTTACATATGTTGCATAACCTTGATCTAATCTTTCTAAATTTCTTCCCATAAATGAATAATCTAATCTACCCATAAATAAAAGTGATGCTAAAACTGATTTTAATATACGTATAACACATGATAATATACCAAGAAAACAATCGAAAAAAAAATTAAAATAATTAAATATAAAAAAAATTCGTCGATTATTTAATGATGGTGTACGACCAAAATTTTGTAAAAAAACAAATTCAGATAATAATGACATTAATATATGTTTTAATAAATAAATTAATATTATTGGTAAACATAATGCTAATATATGTTGAAACCATTTTGAATCATAACGTATCCATAAACGAAATAAAAAACAAATAAGAAATAATATTTTATAAAATATTATAAAACCCCATGCTGTATAACCACATAAATAACCAGAAAAATGTAAACATTTTGATATTAATTCATTATTTGAAAAATTATGTCGTGGTGGTATATCAATATATTTTCCAGCATATGCTGATATTAAATGTTGTTGAATTTTATTTAAACCATTAAATATTTGTGTACAATAAATAATAATTGATATAATTGAACAAAAAAATAAATCATTTATAAATGTTGTACCCCATTGAATATCCCAATTGAATTGATGAAGTATAATATAATGTATACGATCAAGTTGATTTTTTATTGAATATATACCATAAAATGTTAATAAACATGTTAAATTATAAATAACAATTAATATAACTGTATATGTACATAATATTTGAATTGAAAATGTAAAATAACGATGATAACGATATATTTTTGAAAATGAACGAGTTAATATATTATTATAATACATATCTGATGAATGTTTACTTTTTAATAAACCTATTATAAGTAAAAATAAATAAATACGATTTGTAAAAACTTTTTTGCTAATTAAGTTTTATTTCGAAAGAATAAAAATAGAAATATTAATATCAGTAGTAACGTAGTGAATAGTAGAATACAATGACCTTCTATTCTGCGCAGAGATTCCGATAAAAAAAATTGAACGATCTCCACTTCGGTTCATGCAAATAGGTTGCAGTTTTTAGTCAGTCATAGTAATGGCATAACCAGGATTTTTCAGTATTCTGGATTTTCGCTTGAGAGCAGGGGTCCAAAATGAAAACCTTTAAGCATTGATATTCGACTCAAATGATGAGTTTCTATCAAAAAGAAAAAATCTTGAATCGGAGTTTGCAAAAAATATTAGCATTTTCCTGAGCCCCATCAGAAAATGTTTTGCAGTTTTAATGATATCTCGTTTTCAAGAATGCCACCGAAATTCATCGACAGATTTCAAATTTCATTGAAAAAAATTCATCCGTTCAGAAGCTATGACGTGTTTAAGGTTCGGAACGTTTCAAAAAAGTTTTCCGAGGAATTCAAAACGCCATAACTTCTGAACGGATGAATTTCGATGGCATTCTGGAAAACGAGAGATCATTAAAATCGCGAAATATTTTCTGATAGGGCTCAGGAAAATGCTAATTTTTTTTGCAAACTCCGATTCAAGAATATTTCTTATAGAAACTCATCATTTGAGTCAAATATCAATATTCAAAGGTTTTCATTTGGGACCCATGTTCTCAAGCGAAGATCCAGGATACTGGAAAATCCTAGTTACGCCACTAAGTCATAGAAGTTTATTCAAACCTTTTTTTTTTCATACGAATAATACAAATAAATAATATTATCGTAGATCTCACTAAAGAAAACACACATGTAGCGCTCGAAAGTTGTTATTAGAATTCTGCGAGTTTAAAACTTTTGACGACGATTCCGATAAACTTAGAAATTTATGACAAATATCTCTCTAAATTGTATATACAGTTAGTTGACAGGTTTAGTTAGTGTAAATGTTGAAGTTTATGTACAGTAATTGTTGAATTTTAAAAGAACTAATCTTGAAAATTCAGCAGTGTCACATATCCAAAATTTTGGAGATGCCACCGCGTCTCCTGAGGGAGATGCCGTATCTCTCGCGGGAGACGCGAGTGTGGGTGTGGGGGATGCTCATCTCTCAAGAAGATCTTACATCTCCAATGACGAACAGCCGCATCTCCTGGGTGTGGGTGCCGCGTCTCCTGAGGGAGATGCGGCATCTCCCTCAGGAGACGCGGTGGGATCTCCAAAATTTTGGATATGTGACACTACTCACAAGCTCTAACTTCAACACGATATATAGTATTGTCAACGAACGGACCTTTGTTAATAGT